TTCCTCTTAGCTCAAAGGAAATCTGTATGATGTTTTATATTCTGAGGTGCTACCAGGGACAGCCAGATTGGGCCACAAAAAAACACTTTTATGTCATCAATGACAAGAGGGGCAGGCAACTGACCTGTTGGCCAAGAAGACTAAAATGTGATTTGGCAGCTATGGAGATGAAAGAGGGGATTGTGTGGCCAATCATTTTCTTTAATTAGTTACTCTTCTATCTGATAAATGGCCAAATGTGCTGGGCCAGCTTGCCTTGGATCCTGGCGCTGCCTCGGGACACCCTTTCATAGTTTGACTTCAGGATTCCTGTTTTGGGCTGTAAACCTGAGGCCCATCTTTCCTTTTTCTCTGTGTATCTAGGTATCTCTGCCACTTCATTAGAGTCCTTCCCTCTGTAATTTTTATGTTTCTTTCTCCAGGGTGGGAGCCCAACTCCATTTGATAGGAATTTTGCCACTAAGATGGGCGCCAAGGCTATGAATTGGATGTCTGGGAAAATCAAAGAGAGTTACCGTAATGGTAGGTGGAGTGAGAGAGCGAGCGCCTTCTATAGAGGCTGGTTTCCCATTATAGAAGCTGACTGACCATCCCTTATTGCAGGGCGGATTTTTGCCAATACTCCAGACTCTGGCTGTGTTCTAGGGATGCGTAAGAGGGCCCTGGTCTTCCAACCAGTGACTGAGCTGAAGGACCAGACAGATTTTGAGTGAGTACATTTGCTTTCTGGAGTGGTTCTCTCCCTGGTGGTTTCAAGCTCTACTGTCCTCAACCTGATCACTATCTTTAATACTTTTTTTAAAGAAGTAATACCTGTATTCTTACCCATTTCAGATCTGATGTATATGTCCTAAATCCAACCTTTTCTGTCTAACTTCTTCCTATAAACCTTTGGTAGAAGTTGATTGGGGAGCTAAAAGACTATCATCATCTACCTCACTCCTCTGTAGGCATCGAATCCCCAAGGAACAGTGGTGGCTGAAACTGAGGCCCATCCTCAAAATCCTGGCCAAGTACGAGATTGATTTGGACACCTCAGACCATGCCCACCTGGAGCACATCAGTCGGAAGCGGTCTGGGGAAGCTGGCGTTTAAACCTCTCTGGAGTGAGGGGAACAGATTAACTGATCATGGTCAGCTCAACCCCTGATAAGTCCACATCTTGTCAGTGTTTTAGCTATTTTTTTTCATTAGGCTTCCTTTTATTCTGTACCTTGCAGCCATGATCAGTTCTGGCCAGGAGCTGGAAGAGGGGGCACTGGATGGAAGCTCCTTTTAGGTAGAATTTAACATGACTTCTACCCCAGCTTCATCTGTCACACAAGGCTGGGCATCTCTAGTGCTACTGCTAGATATCACTTACTCAGTTAGAATTTTCCGAAAAATAAGCTTTATTTATTTCTTTGTGATAACAAAGAGTCCTAGTTCCTCTACTACTTTTACTACGGTGACAAATTGTAACTACACTAATAAATGCCAACTGGTCACTGTGCTTTTGCTTCTCCTGTTATCTTCCCAAGTGGAATGTAATACTTTCAGCCCCATGTGTCAGACACTTGCCTGATGAAGCAGTAAAGACATTCAGGATATCACAGGGGTTGAAGGAAGGGATTATCTCTAGTATACTACTTGCTGGCAGTGCAAAAAATTATCACTGCCAAACTGTAAAAACAGTTCTAAATAGTGGCTGAGAAGGTTTGTTGCTGGAGTCAGGGATTAAGGCAGCCATATCCTCTTTGCACAGTTCTTTTTTTTTTTTTTTAAGACGGGGTTTCACCATGTTGGTCAGGCTGGTCTTGAACTCCCGACCTCAGGTGATCCGCCCGCCTTGGCCTCCAAAGTGCTTAGATTACAGGCTTGAGCCACCACGCCTGGCCATACAGTTCTTTAGTGGGAAGAGAAATGAACAATAAATATCAAGCACTATGCTAGGCATTTCATCATTGAATCCTCAAAATAGCTTTTGGAAGGCAATGGTGACAGCCTGACTTCAGAAAGGAGGACACTGGAGCTCAAGGTGATTGATGACATAATGTCTCCTTCGATATTATTCAAGTAGAGCTCAAACTCGGTTCTGACTTCAAAGCTTATCTTCATTCCCCATGCCTCTGCTTCCTTACCATGCCATATCAAATCCCCAAAGCCATAAGGCCTATGAAAATGAAGTGAAAGGGGAACTTCACGCATTCATTCAGAACATTTTAAATGCTAATTGCCATTGATTTATAGGATCTCTTTACTATCTTTCATCTTAGAGCTGTTTCCTTGAGAAAATGAAGAGGGAAGGATGGCTGGGGGTAAAGCTAATCAGAGGGAATATGTCACTCTGTAAAGAGTAAAAAATTGAGAATGATGATACTATCTAGGAAAAAAAAAGGCGTAGTGAAGACGACTTAAAAAAAATCAGCCAGGTGTGGTGGCTCATGCCTGTAATCCCAAGGCTTTGGGAGGCCAAGGCAAGGCAGATCATGAGGTCAGGAGATTGAGACCATCCTGGCTAACACAGTGAAACCCTGTCTCTACTAAAAATACCAAAAAAAAAAAAAAAAAAAAAAAAAAAATTAGCTGGGCATGGTGGCACGTGCCTCTAGTCCCAGCTACTTGGGAGGCTGAGGCAGGAGAATTGCTTGAACCCAGGAGGCGGAACTGCACTCCTGCCTAGGCAACAGAGTGATGCTGTCTCAAAACAAAAACCTGTGATGGTGCATGCTGTTTCCCCACAGCTAAAAAGATAAGTGCAATTGTGTTTAAACTCTTAAGTGGAGGTGAAGCAGAATTTATTAGCCACCAACCACGAGTGATTATGAAATAACTGAGAAACAGGTAATATTTTTCCTACATGGCCAAAACTTTCTTTTTCCAGAATATTAAGTCTCCATGATGAGAAATAGCATATAAAGCAGTTTATAAATCTAACAGAATATTAGAATCACCTGGCACCTTTGAACATACTCATGCCCAGGTCTACTTTATTTTTTTTGTAGAGATGGGGACTTCAACTCCTGGTCTAAAATGATCCTTTCACTTGAGCCTCCTAAAGTGTGAGGATTATAGGCATGAGCCACTGCACCCAACCCTACCAGGTCTGCTTTGGACCAATTAAATCAATCTCTGGGAGTGGAGCCTTGGCTTCAGTATTTTTAAAATTTTTCCTAGGTGGTTTCAATATAACTAGGCTTGAAAACTACTGACTAAAGCAGTGGGATCTCATTCCTGGCTACACTCGAAGCATTTGAAGCACTCAAGCCCCCAGCCCTACCCCAGAAAATTCCAAAGAATTGGTATGAGGTGAAATCTTGGCACCAGTGTTTTCAAAAAGCTTCCTTGGTCATTTTATGTGCAGCCGGAGTCGAGAACTTAAAGCAGTACTTCCAACTTTGTGGTAGGAAGGGGAAGCTCTTCAGATACTCTGCCCAAGCCCTCCTGTTCACTCCAACAAGGCCCAGAATCACTGTTGCTAACGGGAGAAAGGTTGGGGTGCAAAGTTATATTGAAGAGCCAGGCAGTAAATGAACTTTTTCTGAGGGAGGTTGGGGAAAAGTAGGAAAAGTAGAAATTGCCAAACTTGCTTTTAGAACTATTTATTCTTTATTTTTTAAATGGTTTTTTTTAAACACCAGCAGTAATAGGACAAAAGCAGACATCTGTTTTCCAATTAGCTGTGTCAGTAGATTCCATTCATTGTAGTTCCCAATCAACTTTTAAAAAAAAGTTTTTCAAGTTTGCATATAAGTCATCTAAAATCAGTAACAACTTGATCTAGTATAGCAACATGAAATGACAGAGTATTGTTCACTAAAGCAGATCTCTTTTGGGTAGATGGACCATCACAAAAGCAGCTCTTCTATGCTTTTTCCACCCCCATCCCAACTGTACCTTCTCACCAATGTATTGTATAAATCAGTAAAAAGCAAAGTTTCCAGAACAACTGAAAGAAAAGTAACTCCAAACTGCAAGCAGAGTGAACTTTCCATTGGGAATGAAGACCCATGGGAAAAGGCAGCCCAGCCCATAACTCTTCCTTGCTGGAACAAACACCATAGGTGTAGGAACTGCCTGCAAAGCCCATTAGAACAGACTGGCTCTCAAGAAGAGAAAGAGCTGCATTAGAAGCTAAGTTCTCAGGACTTCAGAAGTTCTTAGGACTGCTTAGAACCTGCTTTCTCTTCTATAAGGAAAGCAGCAAGATAATCTCTGAAACAGTAGTAATACAGCTATGTATTACTGTTATTAGAGCTATGTTATTTCAGAGCTACTGTGGCCCTTGGGCACAACCATGAGAAAGAGGCAAAGTCTGCTGTTTCCTTTGATGAGGGGAAAGAGGTCAGTCCCTTCCAAATGCCCAAGGACATGGCACACTAGGGATGTCATCTAGCCAAGTTCTGAATTTGCACCATTTGAGGTTACAGTATCTTCATCTTTGGGATGCAATTGTGTTAGCTGAAATTGTGATTTTTCTTAAACTTCTTCACAGATTTTTTTTTTTTTTGAGATGGAGTTTCACTCTTGTTGCCCAGGCTAGAGTGCAATGGCACAATCTCAGCTCACTGCAGCCTCTTGCCTCCTGGGTTCAAGTGATTCTCCTGTCTCAGCCTCCCGAGTAGCTGGGATTACAGGCGTCTGTCACCACACCCAGCTAGTTTTTGTGTTTTTAGTAGAGACGGGGTTTCATCCTATTGGTCAGGCTGGTCTCAAACTCCTGACCTCAGGTGATCTGCCCACCTCAGCCTCCCAAAACGTTGGGATTGATTACAGGCATGAGCCACTGCACTCGACCTAAAATGCTTTCTAGAGGGAATTTTTCTGGACCATTAACCATGTCCCCAAAGGAAAACCACACACATATTCTCTAAGTACTTTCCATCTTCCTAGAGAAATTTAGTTGCACTGCTGACTCCTTTCCTAAGGGGAGGATTGAGGGAGACCTCTTCTTTTGCAAAGGGCAATATAAAAAGGCAAGTAAGCAATAAACAGAAAATAAAAGTAAGGGATTCTTTTTGTTTGGCTGTTTGGTTTGGGGAGGGGAAGTGGTATGGAGGTTACCATTGTGACATGTTGCTTTGAAATCTATAAACCACACAACAGGAACAACTGTTTTTCTGTTTTCTGTGACAAAGTGTACTGCAGGTACAACCTCACCCAGAGTGGCCTGCATGATGATGCAAACATCTTCTCTGGGCTATTCTAAAAGTAACAGGTATTCTTTCAAGGAAGCTGGCAGTGGAAGGCCCTTCACTGCATCTGGCAGATACTGGAGTCCCAGGCTATGGCGCACAGCATAGCGAGCGAGTGTTTTTAGAGTTCCTGGAGCTGAGCACAGAACAGTCAGTTTTTCACACAGCTGCTGATCTCTGGCCACCTCCCGTGGCATGGTACCATTTTTCCTCAATTCAAAATGTCCAACAGCTCTGTGGAGAAGCTCAAAGCAAGAGTCCTCTTTCTCTGTTCCAAGTCCCCTGACTAGCAGAGCCACCAGGCGGGAGATGGGTGTCTGGCCTATTAGGTTGATGACTCTGACCTCTGCGCCATAATCCAGAAGGATGCTGACACTCTCGAGATTTCCCTTCATGGCAGCCCAGCTGAGTGGTGTATCATTGTTGTAATCCAGGGCATTGACAGAAGCCCCACTCTCTAGGAGAGCCCGCACACACTCAGCATTGTTCTTAAAGGCTGCCCAGTGAAGTGGGGTATCTCTGTTGCCATCCAAAGCATTGGGGTTTGCACCATACTCCAGTAGGACCTCCACACAAGCCTCATCTTTCTCTGCTGCATAGTGGAGGGCTGTTCGGTTATACCCATCCAGGGCATTCACCTGTAAAAAGGGAGGAACTATTACAGCAGACAGACTACTGAGGAAGACAGGACGGCAGCAAAGAAACTTGCATGGTTACCCACTACCTTTGATATGCAGTGCTCTGAAGAAGAGGGTCAACAAGCAACTCCCAGGGAATCATAGTGATAAAGATGAAAATGCAGGAGCAAAAAGGAAAAGAACTGTCCTCAAACAGTCAGCACTATTATATGCATTGAACAGTGGGTCTGTATTACTTAGATTTTTGCTGCAATGTTCATTTATCTATTCATTAGAATCTCTACCATAAAGTAAGGGGTAAGACAGGAATAGAGGAAGTCTAAGTCCTTGTAACTGCTCTGAAAGACATTTACTGGAAAGCTGCTTGACTACACAAGAGTTTTGGATTATTTTACTTATCTTACCCTTTCTGTACCCTGTGGCTAATGTAGCAACCAGACTGAAAAATCATAGCTTTTGCTATGTTCTTTAACCATACAGAGAAGTTCAAAATGTTAGAATATGAGTCAGACCTTTGCAAAAACATGCTGTGGGTTCACAAGAGAACCCAAATGAAAGCATGTGATGGGAAAAACACAAATCTTCCAGTGCTGGAAAAGTGGCTGGCTTGCTGACAGCATCACCTGTAATTTTTTTCTTCAAATTTCTGAATAGCATATTCCCTTATTAATGCAATTAAAAAAAAAAAAAAAAAAAAAAAAACCCTGAAACATTTAAGTAAGCTCAACCTTTTTATCTTAAGTACTTTAAGGGGTACTTTAATCAGAGTTGAGGGATCTCTGTATCTACATCTCCTGGACAGACAATAGGCAATGAGAAGATTAAATGGAAATAACAACAACCCCTACAAGGTAAGCTTCCTGAAGTGATGGCCAGCAACAGCTTAAGTTAAAGAGAAGAAAGGCAGAGGATCAATACCGTAAGATGGGAGCAAGGGGGAGGCGGGCAGGGACAGAAGGCAAAGGAATGAAATCCTTATATCATTTTATATATTTACCGTTACATTTTCCTTAATATTGACTATGCCAACATTATCTTGAGTTAGAAGTTCAGACTGGAGGAGGGAAGAGATGAAGGAGTGATGGGGAGAAATTCTAAGAAGGCATGAAGCTCAAATTTTAGTGAATCATTAATGTGAATGTGTTAAAAACATTACCTCGGCTCCTTTTTCCAGAAGTAACTCCACACAGTCAGCATCTGACACCATACAGGCACAGTGCAAGGGCTTCAGAGTGCCATGGGTGCAGTTCACATCTGCTCCCTGTGGGCAGAAGAAAACTCTGGTCAGTGTGCTTAGCTCCAGCTTGCCCAGCAGGATAGGATTCAGAACTGAGTCCAGGGGATAGAGTTCTAACTCTATTTTATAGATACACTGCTAGTTCCTTGTTTCCTTTTCTATTAATTAAACAATATCATGCCAATGTCCAAGCCAAAGGAGTACATTGAAGATGAAGGAAAGCAACTGTTAATTCCTTAGATCAAGTTACTAAGTTTCTCCACAAGGTAGCCTGCCAGATGGTCACCTGGACATCACTGAAGACATAATCTTATGTGTCAAAGCACTGGAAACCTTATCATCAGACAGGAAAGCTGCACCAACAATCCACTTTCTATGGCCACCATATTCTGAAAAAGTAGGAAACCGAGTCTGTCAGACTGAAGCTAGAACTGGCATGCTCTTTTGGCCATTCAACAAATGACCATCACTAATAGTAGCATCATCTTAACACTATTTTTCCTTGTTTATAAACATCTTCAAAGTGGCCTCTTAGAATCAGCATTCTTTACCACCTAGCTTTTGCTAGTGCTTCTATTCAAAATCAAAGGACAGGGGATGCGTTGGCTCACACCTATAATCACAGCACTCTGAGACGCTGAGGCGGGCAGGTCACCTGAGGTCAGGAGTTTGAGACCATCCTGGCCAACATGGTGAAACCTCCGACTCTACTAAAAATACAAAAATTAGCCAGGCAGGGTGGCTGGCGCCTGTCATCCCAGCTACTCAGGAAGCTGAGGCAGAAGAATCACTTGAACCTGGGAGGTGGAGGTTGCGGTGAGCGGAGATCGTGCCATTGCACTCCAGCCTGGGCAAGAAGAGTGAAACTCCATCTCAAAAAAAAAAAAAAAAATCAAAGGAGATGGAGATACTAGTCAGACTGAAGTCACTGAATGACTCAGCAGCAGAGCTAGAATTAGAATGTGACAAAATTTCTACCGTGGAGTCTTCCGACACCACTTTTGCTGAGAATAAGCTAACACTGCATGACTTTTCCTTCTCCAGTCGTGCCCAATAACTCTGAGGCAGCTCTAGAGATCCAGGCTGTAAATGAGGAGCTTAAAAGTCTTAAAAAAGAATATATAGAAGTAACTATCTGGATGCATTTTCTGGTGATCAAAAAATTACTCTGTTAACTTCTCTTCAACAAGACAAATACATAGAAGAGGATAGTAAAGACCTAGGATACTAGTCATATAACAATTATTGAAGAGTGGTGATTAAATATCAGCTAATTAAGGTGTTTTCTTAAACTATAATTACCATGCATTTTAGGGGTTGATATCCTCTACAGAACCAGAAGTGGTAGCTGCCTTTAACATAGAACGTAAGTAAAAAATCTCTCCATTGTAATTATTATAACTCAGGTATGAAGAAGGGGTCACAAGGATTTAAAAACCACCTCTGTATCCAGGCACAGTGGATCACTTGAGCTTAGGAATTCAAGACCAGCCTGGGCAATATGGTGAAACCCTGTCTTTACAAAAAAATTAAAAAAAAAAAAAAAATAGCTGGACATGGTGGCATGTGCCTGTAGACCCAGCTACTTGAGGGTGCTGAGGTGAAAGGATCGCTTGAGCCTGGGAGGTCAAGGCTGCAATGGGCCAACTTCGCGCCACTGCACTCCAGTCTGGACAAAAGCGAATCCCTGGCTCAAAAAATAAAAATAAAAACCACCTCTGCTTTGCCCACCTCCTCCGTTAGTAAAACATGTATAGAAGACTTTGAGTTCAATGGATTACATACGCATCATACTCAGATATTTTACAAAGAACATGAGACTAGGGTTATTGAGAACATACTCCAAGAAGAAAAATGTCAGATACACAAAGTAAAAGGGAGAAGGGAAGCAAAGCAAACATGGGGAAATGCATTTTAATGATCAAGTTAATGCATTTAACAAAATGTAAAAACTCCTTGTGATCTTGGGCTGAGTCAAGGAGGATTTACATGAGGATTTATAGAGCTTTCCCACTTCACATCGCAAAGGAGTCTCCTGTCAATACTAGCACACTTACCCCTCTGATGAGGTCCTCTACATTATCATGTGGGAAGGAACGGATGGCAGCAATTGTTCGGATTAAGCGCTCCGAAAGAGAGTATTTGCTCTGAATGCTCTGCATAATATACCACATACTGGAACTCATCAAGGTTCAAGGTGTTCACATGCTCCAAACTGCCTGAAACAAAGAAGTTTTAGGCGTATATATCACTGAGCACCCCTGTCTTTAGGGTTAGGTGTTTCTCTGACGCCTTCCCAATACTAAAAGCAGATTTCAAGGAGTGATTAACACTATTTTCATAACCATAAGGAATTGAATTATAATAGTTGCCTAGGGAGTTGGAAAAACCTGGACACAAATGTTTTACTCTAGCACAAGATTTCCCTAAGAGGTACTAAGACCCCTATGGAGCTCTGTGTGGTTTACGAACAAGACTAGGCAAGGAATAGGATTTTTGAAAGGCTGAAGAGGTCACAAAACATTATTTTTCTTCTTTGAATTTTTGTGGTTTTTATGATCAGCACCACCATTAAGTTATTTATAACACTGGGCCTTGCAATATAGTTATGTACATATTGTTTCTCCACCTAAACTGTAATCAACTAGAAGGCAAGCACTTGGTCTTCTACTTTTTCACCCATGTAAGGCCAGCCACAGAATCTCACAAAAGGCAGGTATTTAACAAATATTGGTTGGTTGACTAACTAAACAGTATAGAAGTGATTGTTACCTGTGAAAAGAGAGGAAGAAGGCTATGGAGCAAATAGATCTATCTTAATAATGAAAAGGCATCTGAAATATTTTCAAATGTCTTCAGCAGAGGGAAAAAAAGGAAATATTTGAGGTAATATTCTAAAATAAGAAAGGAAAGCAAATGTATAACTACTCTAGAGTCGTCTATATAAAACTAGGAGAAAATTAAAGTTCATAGTAAAATATGCTTTCAGTTTTAGAAAAATATCCTAGCACTTTGTGAGGGGGAGGTCAGTGGATTGCCTGAGATCAGGAGTTCGAGACCAGCCTGACCAACATGGTGAAAGCCCATCTGTACTAAAAATACAAAAAAATTAGCTGGGTCTGGTATCGTCCACCTATAATTTCAGCTACTCGGAGGCTGAGGCAGGAGAATTGCTTGAACTGGGAGGCAGAGGTTGCAGTGAGCTGAGATTGCACCACTGCACTCCAGGCTTGGCAACAGAGTAAGACTCCATTTCAAAAAAATAAATGAGTTAAAATTTTTTTTTTCTAAGGTGGAGTCTTGCTCTATCACCCAGTCTGGAGCATAGTGGCACAATCGGCTCACTGCAACCACCACCTCCCAGGTTCTAGCAATTCAGCCTCCTGAGTAACTGGGATTACAGGTGCCCACCACCACACTCAGTTAATTTTTTGTATTTTTAGTAAAGGTTTCACCATGTTGGCCAGACTGGTCTTGAACTCCTGACCTTGTGATCCACCTGCCTCGGCCTCCCAAAGTGCTGGGATTACAGGTGTGAGCCACCATGTCCCGTCTTTAACTTGCTTTAAAATCTGCATATTTTTCTAAAACTGTGAGCCACCACGCCCAGCCAAAATTTTTAATAATTAGCTATTCATGACAACTGAGAAATAGACTTGGTGAAATACATGTTGAAACCACAATAAGACAGAGTTCTAGGATGGAAGAAGAAAATAATGCAATATACTTCAATTCAACTTAAAAGGTTTGGCTGTATAAGAGACAAGAGTTAGGGACCATTTAAAATTACAGCCAGTAAGGTAGAGCATTTCTATGAAACAACACATATCAAAAACTATAGAGAAAACATAATACACAGTATCAGTTCTCTAGGTGCAAGTGCTTAGAAATCTCTGTCCTTATTATAAGCTCCTCGGGAATAACGATACTGATTTTTTTCAACAGTACCTGACACATGGTAGGTTCTAAATATCTGTTGAACCAATGTAAAGTTGATTACTTGAGATCCTAAGAAATTTAAGACGAAGTAAATAAGCACATTATGCATATAAAATTGTTTTGGTCATTTAATAATACATAATTTTTTTGGCAGGGCATGGTGGCTCATGCCTGTAATCCTGGCACTTTGGGAGGCCAAGGTGGGCGGATCACTTGAGGTCAGCAGTTTGAGACTAGCCTGACCAACACGGTAAAACCCCATCTCTGCTGGGCGCGGTGGCTCACGCCTGTAATCCCAGCACTTTGGGAGGCCGAGGCAGGTGTATCACGAGGTCAAGAGATCGAGACCATCCTGGTCAACACGGTGAAACCCCGTCTCTACTAAAAATACAAAAAATTAGCTGGGCATGGTGGCGCATGCCTGTAATCACAGCTACCCAGGAGGCTGAGGCAGGAGAATTGCCTGAACCCAGGAGGCGGAGGTTGCGGTGAGCCGAGATCGCGCCATTGCACTCCAGCCTGGGTAACAAGAGCGAAACTCCGTCTCAAAAAAAAAAAAAAAAAAAAAAACCCCATCTCTACTAAAAATACAAAAAAATTAGCCAGGTGTGGTGGCATGCACCTGTAGTCCCAGCCACTTGGGAGGCTGAGGCTGGAGAATTGCTTGAACCTGGGAGGGAACGGATGCAGTGAGCAGAGATGGCACCACTGCACTCAGCTGAGGCAAAAGAGAAAGACTCCATCTCAAAATCATAACACATCATTTTTTGCATTTTTTTTTTTTTGAGTCTCACTCTGTCACCCAGGCTGGGGTGCAGTGGCGCAATCTTGGCTCACTGCAACCTCTCCCTCCCAGGCTCAAGCGATTCTCTTGATTCAGCCTCCTGAGTAGCTGGGATTTACAGGTGTGCACCACCACGCCTGGCTACTTTTCGTATTTTTAGTAGAGACAGGGTTTCACCATGTTGGCCAGACTGGTCTCAAACTCCTGACTTCAGGTGATCCACCCGCCTCAGCTTCCCAAAGTGCTGGGATTACAGATGTGAGCCACCGTTCCTGGCCAATTAATTTTTGCTTTTTGTGATGAAGTATCCCTTTATGTATTATACACTATAAATTCTGATAGTTTCTTTTTTGTGAATCAGTAGCCATTTATGTTGGATGTAAATTCTATTAATAGAATACAAGTTAAAAATATTTATACGTATCGATAATTCAAATTGTGTATTTTTCTCCCCTGTTATCATGCATGAATAAGCTCACACACTTGTTTATATGTCTATGACATTTTCTAGACAGTTTAGATTTGCCATATGTGAGACAAGGGTCTGTATCTTGTAATTTTTTTGTTTCAAGGAAAAAGGAAAAAAAAAAGAGGTGCATTTGAGTTGGAATTCCAAGAATGGGGGCGGAAGACATCGCATCTAAAGCAGTAGGCTTCGACCAAAGTGGTTGTGTTGCCTGTAATCTCACCACTTTGGGAGGCCAAGGCAGGAGGAGCTCTTGAACCTGTAAGTTCAGAACGAGCCTGGGCAACATGGTGAGGTGACCCCCACACCTAACCGTCTGTACAAAAAAAATTCAAATATTAAAATAAATAAAGTGGTTTCATTAACCATTTCTGGGCCACGATAATCTGATGCAACTAAACACTGCAGTCATTTCTGGGGGGCTCCTGGACTCCGGGCTAAGAACTCTTAAGAGTATGGTCAGTGGTCTGCTGCTGCCTGAAAGCTTCCGGTAAAGGAATGAAACTTCAGGGCAAATTAACTGCATTCACTGTCAGGAACGGTCGGAAATCTAAATTCGATCTCATCAGACTGCAGCCGGTGTACGGTTTGGCCCCCTTTTTCAGCTCTGCTAGAGCTGAATGCCCTATCTCCCTCGTTTTCTTTTGCTACGGGATCCAGAGAAAACACGAAAGGGCATTTATTGCGAAGCTAAAAAAAAAAAAAAAAAAGGCGGAAAAAAGACGACACAGCAACTCTAATGCGAGGGAGGCCTTGGCTTCCCCGCCCCCTCCCGCCCCTGGAGAACTCTGGCTGAGCCTGCAGCGCCCCTAATCCCACCACACCTGCTGCGGGAGAGCTCGCGGCAGCTGTCTTGCTGAGGCTAGGGGGCGGGGGGCAAGGGCACAAAATGCAAGGACGTGCGGTTTCAACGCACAGGCTCCCAACAGATATCTCGCAGCACTCCAGGCAGGTCTGCTACGGAAAGAGAATCACACAATTTGTGTTGGGGGGGCCTCAAAAAGGGAACAATTCCCTCCTGGATCTGCCTTCTAAGGCCCGGAACGAAGTCTCAGCCTCGAGAGCTAGAGCACTTTGACCTGGGAGTGGAGGAAGCGTTATTGGGCGTGGTACCCTGGGTTGGGAAACCTGGCTGTAGACCTTCCCGCACCAAGAACCGCACTCACCGAATTGCTAGGCTGAGCGGGGTGTGGAAAGCCGCAGTCAAGGGTGACCCGGAAGCAGAACCCCTCAGCGGCAAGCCCCTCTGTTTACAGGACAAGAAGACCAACTAAGATGGGCGCCTGCGCATTGACGAGTGTTCGTAAGCGAGGCGCGCCTGCGCAGACTTGTGCAGCAGCTTCCGTCCTCCCGTGGCCTAGTTAAGGGGTTACTTTCTCTCTTTGCGCATAGGTTATGCGCGCAGGCGCAATGGAACGTTCTCGATCGCAGCGGCGGGGCTCAGGTCTTGGTCCTGCAGTGGGGGAAAAAAGCTCAGGAACTATGGCTGTTGAGCCGATTCCATATGGTTGCACCTGCGTGGACCAGGCCAGCAGTGGGTCCATCTACAATGGTTTAGTTGCTTAGGAGACTAAACTCTTTTTTTTTTTTTTTTTTTTTTTTTTTTTTGAGACGGAGTTTCGCTCTTGTTACCCAGGCTGGAGTGCAAGGGCGCGATCTCGGCTCACCGCAACCTCCGCCTCCTGGGTTCAGGCAATTCTCCTGCCTCAGCCTCCTAAGTAGCTGGGATTACAGGCACGTGCCACTATGCCCAGCTAATTTTTTGTATTTTTAGTAGAGACGGGGTTTCACCATGTTGACCAGGATGGTCTCGATCTCTTGACCTCGTGATCCACCCGCCTCGGCCTCCCAAAGTGCTGGGATTACAGGCTTGAGCCACCGCGCCTGGCCTAAACTCTTAATAAGAATTGTCTTTGGCAAATAAAAATACTTCTGGCATTATTCATATGGTGGAATAAATCTATGCTCCCTAGAACCCTTCTGTACGTTGTCCATCCTCCTTCAAGTAAACCATATCAAAGACAAATTCAACCACCCAAGAAGTGTAGTATTCTAAATGTGGCGGAATAAAGTACCTTTATTTATAACTATTCTTAGGGTTAATGAACCTTCCCAAGCAAAGAAACGATGACATCTTTGAGTGACCTCTTTCTGTGCAAAGCATAAACATTTTGAAGTCAGCAGCACATGGTGGTGGTGCATGGAAGGAGTGAAGCAGCGCATTCAGGCAGCCTACAAGAGTTGTGGTCTTCCCGGCAGCCTGTTTAACCAGAGTGCCTCACACCTGCTCTCCAAAGCTTGTACTAAACAAACAAATCTAACAATTAGAGATTCAGCCAGGCGTGGTGGCTCACGCCAATAATCCCAGCACTTTGGGAGGCGGAGGGAGGCGGATCACCCCTGAGACTGGGAATTCGAGACCAGGCTGATCAATGTGGAGAAACCCCGTCTCTACTGGAAAAGAAATAAAAAATACAAAAATACAAAATTAGCCGGACGTGGTGGCGCATGCCCTGTAATCCCAGCTCCTCGGGAGGCTGAAGCAGCAGAATCGCTTAAACCCGGGAGGCAGAGGTTCCAGTGAGCCGCGACTGCGCCATTACATTACAGCCTGGGCAACAAGAGTGAAACTCCATCTCAAAAAAGAAAAAAAAAGAGAAATGTAAGCAGGCCCAGACAGTTTGTGTACATCAGGGAAAGGATGTGAACTGAAAGCTCATGACCTGGTCTGAAGAGTGAACCTCCTTTGAGCTCCAAACTCAAAGGAATTTTGCCATGAAGGAATATGCCCTCCACTTTCTGCCACTGCACCATGGTGAAATGGTCCATTTTTTCAAAAGAAGCTGAAATCCAGATTTTTTTAAACAGTGAATTCTTCCAAGTTGCAAATGTTGGCAATTATTTTTTATTTTTGAGATGTAGTTTTGCTCTTGTCACCCAGGCTGGAGTGCAATGGCATGATCTCAGCTCGTTGCAACTTCGGCCTTCCAGATTCAAGCACTTCTCTTGCCTCAGCCTCCTGAGTAGCTGGGACTACAGGCATCTGCCACCACACCTGAATATTTTATTATTTTTTTATTTTTAGTAGAGAAGGGGTTTCACCATGTTGGCCAGGCTGGTCTCAAATTGACCTCAGGTGATCCTGTCTTCTCAGACTTCCCAAGTGCGGGGCTTACAGGCATAAGTCACAATGCTGGGCCACATCTTTCAAATGTCCTGGTTGGAAAATGCTGAAATATATAAATTCTGGGAAACCATCAGCATCTTAAATGTAAGAATGAGTGAAGTCTCCCAGGGAGTGATAAAATAGGCTCTCAATACAGGTTATTTTTTTATTGAAAAACCAAATACACTTTTATTTTACAAGGTGTGCAACTCAGTATATGCAGAAAAGTACTCTATGTCACACTCATGATCAATATCCTTTCATTTCCATTTGGCATGGCATTGAAAACCTAGCACATCATTTAACAAAAAAAATCACATAAAAGACCCCAAGAGAAATAAAACTAACTTATCTTCCCCAAACAATAGATTTCATCTTCATTAGTCAAATCAGCACCTGCTGATAGGGCAGTAGAGCAAACCTGACAGTGATATTCATTAACAAGGAAGACCAAACTTATGCTTTCAAGTATAAAGATCAACTCTGAATGGCAGAGAGCCTAATCTGACTGTTATCAGCCACCAAGAACTCAGAAGAGCAAAGAACTCAAGAAGAGAGAAGCCAAAGCACTATGAAAATTATTCTTTTCTGTGAAATTCAGTCCTACAGCCTGCATGAGCAAGGGTCCAAAACACCGGCGAGCTGACAAAGCTACTGGGAGAGCCCACTCATCATGGGAAATGCACTGGCTGTGCCTCCCTGTGCTGTGTCCTTCCATGGGCCTCCTCCACTCTTCACTGACTCCATTTTGACTTGGTCCTCTGGTCTCACCACAGCTACTTGAGAGACTTTGAGTTGTAATCTTACAGTTCCAAGAATCTATTTTGACTGAACCCAAGAGTAACATGCTCATTCAAAATAGAAATGTTCTCATGGTAAATGGTACAAAGGCCATTCCGTATATATATATATATATTTCTATGGAAGACAAAGTTTCCTTCCTCTTTTTTTTTTTTTTCCTTTTTTTGAGATGGAGTCTCACTCTGTCACGCAGGCTGGAGTGTGGTGGCACAATCTCAGCTCACTGCAACCTCCACCTCCCAAGTGATTCTCCTGCCTCGGCTTCCCAATTAGCTAGAATTACAGATAGGTACCACCATGCTTGGCTAATTTGTACTTTTAGTAGAGACAGGGTTTCACCATATTGGCCACGCTGGTCTCAAATTCCTGACTTCAGGTGATCCACCCACCTCGGCCGCCCAAAGTGCTGGCATTACAGGTGAGAGCCACCGCGCCTGGCTGCTTCCTTCCTCTTTAACAAGAAAATATTGCACCCAGCATCACTGCTTTGGCTAGCTCTTTTTTCCTGTGTGCTCTGATGTGTGCAGCAATTGAACCAGCTACAATTTCTGCATTCTTCCTGGTCTGGCCAAAATAATCTGGAAACTCACCATGTGGCGCAATCAAAGACATTATTATTGTATGATTCACTAACATAGTCTTCATCTTCATCCTTGGGGCTAGAGCTGTGATATACTGTGTATTCTCTGGCCACGTGATTGATCTCCTCTTTTGTGCTAACCAATTTGGGAGAAAATTCTTTCACATAATTTACAATGGCTTTTTTGTGTCCCTTTCTGGGTCAGTGGTGATGAAAAGCAGAGTTAAATTTTGCAGAGTTGAAATACTATCACATCCACGACTTGAATCATTTTTTCTAGTTCTTCTGGACAGATATCAGGGTAATGACTGAAACCAAAATAAATCAGCAGCCACCGACCCAGGTAGTCCTTGTCAGTTTTAGGCTCTCCAAACGTGTTGTGAGGAAAAATGGTCCCCCAATGAAGGCTTCACTATCGTTCCTTCTCTAGCTCTCTGTCTTTTCTATCTTGAAGTACTTCACTCCAGCCAGTAAACCTCCTCCAATAGCAAATGTGAATGATAAAGATTTCCAGGAAATAGGCCTGGGATTCAAGGAGCATGTGCAGTCTCTGCAGCCCTTCTGCTCAGGCCCTGACCACCTCAAGGGTGCTTGGTGGCCTCACCACCTGAGAGGCCAGGTTGCCAGGCAGCCATCAGTGAGACCCTAGTCCTGCCACACTTCCTCTTGCATGCAGAATTGCCCTGGCAAGACTCTACTTGGCTGGGCCCCAAAGCTCATGTCAGTCAGGCAAGAGACACCAAAGTTAGCCCATACTGGTTACTTTGAAGTGTCTCTGAGAATTCAGTGCACAACAAAAGCTGGTTTCAGTTATATTCAATCATCTTTTCATCAAACATTTACTGAGCACCTAGTTTCTTCCAGGCTTTGTGCTCAACTCTCCAGGGAAGACAGAAATGGAGAGAGGCAGTCTCTTATTATCAAGGGTTGGGAAACAGTTATGAACATCCTCAATTGCAATTAAAGATGATTACTTCAACAACACTGTTATGTCTAAAGTCAGTGTTGACAAACAGTTCTAACTCATGGTGGGATCAAGAGAGTGAAGGAAGAATGGGTCCATGAAGAGGCTTCTTGGGGAGAAATTTGTATGTGTGGAGTCCCCACTCTCCTGCTACCCAGATGGAGAAGTGCTGATGTTGCCTAAATAGGGGCTTCTGTGGGACCAGAGAGCTTGAAGATAGTTCCCCATAGTTGTAAGACAAAGAACTGCACCAATACTCACTTATAAAGTAAAGAGGGCTGTGGCCACAAAGTAGAGGTGGCTGCATTGGGATCTGTCTGGAGACCCAGATTCAGCAGGGATAATGAATGTATAAATGTTTCCCTGGACCAGATGTGGATCACATGAAAAACAGCCAATGTGGGGTTGCCTTTGTTCTATCCAAAGGGGCTGTCTAGAGGTATGGGAGGATACAGTGGCCAGAAGCCAGAAATGAACACAGGAATCCTACAATCAACAGTGCCAAAAGAACTCAAGTGAGAGATCTCTGATGATGGGAATCTGCAAAGAATCTTTAAAAGCACACTTTAAGAAAAAGAGTCAGCTTTAACCAACTGCAAGACCCAGGTAGTGCAGACCTACCCTACCAAGAAAGAAAGAACTGCCCTATATCCTCAGCTTTCCTACCTCCTCCCACTGTTACACAAGCAGATTCAATAGCAGTTAGCTAGTGGGGGAGGAAGGAAGTTGAGGAGAAAGCTATAGGCAGCCACCAGGCATATGTCTTACATGGAGAAGGAGGA